GCAACGTGGACAAAGCGAGCACCCCCGAGTGCCACAGAAGCCCTTGGATGCCAGCCTACAGCTCTCCTTGCAGGGGGATGGCAGCCCCGAGCGCTCCGCGGACCGGCAGGGTCACTCTGAGCCGGGATCGGCCTGAGGGCAGGCAGCCGCTCTGGTGTTTAGAAGAATCTGAGTGAGCTCGGCTGCACAGTGGCCGGGGTCATGGCCGAGCTGGCGTCACGTCGGGGGTCACAGAGGCTGCTCCCTAGCCCCAGGTCTGCTTCTCTTCTCCCTCGACAACCTGTCCCCCAGGGCTCCCCGTGCCCCGGTGACCTGGGCAAGGTGCTCAGGGGAAGGGATAGGGCAGAACGGACCTACGGTCCAGGACTGGCCAGAGAGCACCCTCGCACAAAGGAAGAGAGAGGACACACCAGAACCGTCTGAGAAGAAGCCACGGCCGGCCTCTGACACCACTCCACACACACACACACACACACACACACACACATGGCCCCTGGGGGCCCCTACCTTAAAGGTCTTGTCCATGGAGGCTGAGAGAAGCAGGTGGCTCTGGGCAGGAACGGGGCACCACTGCACGCTGTTGACGGGGGCCTCATGGCCCCGCAGGTGGAAGAGCACACGCCTGGGCAGCTGGGTCTCTGTGGACGGGCAGTCCAAGTATGGCCGGATGAACTCGGACACCCGGGGGGCCAGACCGCGTAGGGCTGGGCGGGGGACACACCCCGCCAAGGGGCCCTGGGGCTCTGCACCCGCACTGCCATCCAAGGCTGGGGGTGCAGCTGGTGACTGTCTCAGCCTTTTCGGGGTGTATGGGATGACGCAGTCCTCGTGCTTCGGCTTCCGGAAAGAGCTGCCATTGTCTCCCGGGGACACTTCAGACATGGTCGGAGCCCAGAAGGCCGGCTCAGTAGGGGCGCAGCTCTCCTGGGAGGGTCTCACTCCCCCAAAGTGGGCAGCCGTCAGAGGTAGGGGGCCAGCACGAGGTTGGCTGAGCCACAGGGAACTGCCAGGCGGCTCGCTTCGGGCGGCAGTGATGGCTGGCTCCGTCCGGGACCACTGCAGCCTGAGGCTGGGGCCACACCTCCCCTCAGTTCTCCCAATAGGGACCATCGGGAGGCGGTGGCCACCCCGCTCTTCACAGAGGTGGCCAGGAGCTTCAGTGCTGGACTTCGTGGGCTGTGGGTACACTGCCATCGGGGTCAACAGGCCAGGTACGAGCTCCTGCTCAGGAGGGCTGGCCACACCAGCCGGGTCCTCTGCCTGGCCGGTAGCAGTGAGACGCCCCGAAGGTTCCAGCTCAGCCTCTGAGTCCGAATCGTCATAAGCCACCAAGGAAGCCATCGAGGGCCAGCCCAACTCCTTGCTGCACTTGGAAGATGAACCTCCTAAGGTCAAAAGAAGCCAAGTGTCAGAACATGTGCTTGGAACACTGACATGCAGTTCAAAGAAAACACATCCCCCGGGAATTCCAAGACGGAAACCCACCCAAACCAAGCCCCTGCATCGAAGCCAAGCCCACCCGTAGCCACCTTAAAGGACAAGGCAGAACTGCCCCTGTGAGTTTCCAAGACTGCATATCTGTGATAGGGAGGTTTATTGTGCCAACCTGCCCAATAAGAACATGTGGGATTAATAAGATCGCAGCTTGATTGGAGGGCAAAGAGATAAATGGCTCGGCAAGCCCGCCTCTCTCTTGCTCTCTGGGGATCGGACCTGCGTGCAGCTGCTAGTTCTCTGCCTCAACTCGTGAGCTACACTGCCTGTGGGACTGCCAACCCATGGATCGTGTCACTAGAGCTTGGGGTTCCTTTGAGACCTGCTTCGCCACGCTGCTGGTGTATACATCGATTGAGCTTGGGACTGTCAGATCCTGTCCGTCTTGACTGTTGATGACTTGCCCTGCTGTTTGCTGCCTGTGGCTGGACTGCCTGCATTGCCCTGTGGAAAACTCAGCTGTCTGCTTCCTTGACCTTGGGCCCAGCAGCGCTTGTGAGTTGAAGGACTTCCAGTATATTAACTGTCCCACGGAAGTGAGTTGAACTGAGCCCTCTGTACTAATGTGTGAGCTAATTAGCTGTTATATTCCTTCATGCTGTATCTATCTATCTATCTCTATCTATCTATCTATCTATCTATCTATCTATCTATCTATCTATAATCATAAGTGTCCTGGTTTTATTTCTCTAGAGAACCCCATCTAACACAGTATCTTTCCGGGAGCACACAGCTTCGTCTCTTTCCTGTAGTGCCGCTGATAGATTGGAACCAAGGAACTTGAACCGCAGATAGCAGCCCAGTGCTTAGTCCCCTGAAGCGCCAAAGCTCCAGAATAAACCCACGAGAGAAACAAAGCACAAGGGCTTTCCCGTATGCCCAGCTTCATGCATTCCGAGGCGTCACTTGAGAAGGGGGACTTGGGACTCAGCCCAATCAAAATTAAGCAAGAAATAAGGGTTGACTCCAGACCAAAAAAGGGGTTCAAAGGTCAGGCTTGCACCTCACGATCTTTTAAGGACTTGATGATCCAGACACTTGGAAGATGAGATGGGGGACCTTGGGGTGGGGGGGGCGGGGAGGCAGGGAGTTGATCATCATGATGAGCGGAGAAAAGCTGACGTTGACATTGGCAAGGGTTTTGTCTTGCTTGGTTCTACAATCAATGGTCGTGGAAGTAGAAACCAAGAGATCCAATAGTACATCACAAGGGGTGATTCTGCTGCACAAGAGTACTGAACGGCAGGGATGTCACTTTGGGGACTAAGGTGCACCTGACCCAAGCCATGGTGTTCTCCATGGCCTCCTGTGCATGTGAAAGTTGGGCACTGAATAAGGAAGACCAAAAAACCCGATGCATTTGAATTGTGGTGCTGGGGAAGAAGACTGGAAGTACCACAGACTGCCAAAAGGGCAAACAGTTCCATCCTGTACGGCCAGAGCGCTCCTTGGAGACAAGGAGGGTGAGACTTTGCCTCCCGTACTTTGGACATGTCGTCAGTAGAGACCAGCTCCTGGTACAGAAAAGAGAAAGGCTCTCGATGAGACGGGGGACACAGTGGCCACAGGAACAGGTGTGAGGATGGCACAGGGAGGACACAGTGGCCACAGGAACAAGTATGAGGGTGGCACAGGCCCGGGGCGTGGTTTGTTCTCTCATGGCTGGGCTCACGAGGGGTCAACACCAACTGGATGGCGCCCAACAACAATAACAAATCTGTGACGCGGGGTCTCCTTGATGTGTTGGAAAGCAAGGCTGTCACGTTGAGGTTATTTTCAGTGGTCTCATCCGTATGTCAACGTTAGACATTGAATAAGGAAGACCAAAGAAGAATGGGTGCTGGTGAGAGCCTTGGGGGAGGGACAGCTCAGAAGAGGAGAGAGAGACTGGCCCACCCCTGGAAGGGCAGAGCAGCAGCATGGAGATGCACATGGAGACGCTGTTGGATCGGCGTCCCTTCTGTCGGTCTACTTCCAACAGTGGCAAAAATAAAATAGACTGTCAAAAAGATGCAAATGGCCTTATTCTTACAACCTGCCAATTGCAATCCAATGCTACAAAAAATCTTTGAAAAAAAACCTTTTGTTTTAGTCAGCTTTTATAGTAGCTCTTTGAGCACGAAAAAATATATATGAGAATACTCTGAGTCGTGCATATCCCAGGGACAAACAGATGGATTCTGGTCCCCCACTGAACTCTAGCCCCAATCCAAGAACCATTAGCTCTGATCACATGGCCCTGCTCGATACTCACCTGCATGGAAGGATCACTGAAGGTCAAGGTGCTACAGCAAAGGGTGGTGAAGAAAGCAGACGATGCCCGGCCACCAATGGGAATAGTGTCTGGGGTCTCAAAGGCTGGTGTTCAAACAAGCAGCCAGCTAAGCGAGCAGTCAACTAAGTCTACGTGGAAGAAGCACAGCAGTCTGTGTGATCCAAAGACGGCAACCACAAAATTCAAACATGACAAAGGGGAAAGTCTCAGAGCCTAAATTGGGAACATCCAAGTTGTAGAAGGCTAAGGAGGACCGTGGTGGCCCCAAACCCATCTGCCGAATATCCAGCCTGAATAGCTGGCAGATCCCCATGAGATTCTTCGAGGTGCGAGTAGTTCTTGCTTGCTCCATGACAAAATCCCTTGCCTGGTCTTTTAAATATTTACGGTGGTCTTTTCTTTTGTACCCACTGTTTGTATTGTTATCTCTGTATTATTATTTTATCCTTACCACTTTTTTTTCCTGTTTTTTACTGCTAATGTTGGCTTTTCCAGTTTGTGAAGCACAGAAAGAGGAGAGGCATAAAGGTAAGAACTGATGCAGGTGTTCAAAGGGGAGGAAGAGGTGGAGGGTGGAGACAGGGAAGGTGAGGCGGTTGGGGGAGCAAGCAATGCCTGTGGGAGGGGGAGGGACACTGTAGGACTGAGGGTGATTCCACAGCTCGCTTTAAAGGTGATTTAACCATGCGGGAAGGGGGCGCAAGCGTTCTTTGTGGTGAGGATGTACGACTCTTCTTGATGTGCGTGAGCTACTTAATTGTGTGGCGTGTGGAGTAAGTGCCAATAAAACTGATCAGTTAAGAGATCTTCATCCTGAAGTTATGAATTTATTCATAAGTATGTGCCTGTTACCGAAATGGAAGTTAAGTTCTTAAGTAAACAAATCCATATGTACTTCATCTAATTGTCATCCAGAGTCAAACTTATATTCTACCAGCATTCTGCTTTAGGAGGCTTGTTATAAGCAGTAAAATACATCGCGCCCTCTTTAGACTGAGTGTTGTGAGGGAGAGGAGGGCTCTGGCTTCCGCGATGGAGACGATTCATCCGAGGGAGTTTGCCGTGTGGCATCCTGAAAGTCGTCGTCGTAGACAGTTAAGCCTAGACACTCAATGCCTGCTTTGCCTCGACCTGAGAATACAGTCAATTAATTCATTTTAAAACACTCATGGTGATGGCAACATCTGTACAATGGGCCGACACAATGGATGGATTGTGATAAGAGCTATAGGAGCCCCCAATAAAATGATTTTTAAAAAGAAGAAGAAGAAGCTCAAATTCAAATGCTCTCTTCCCCTACCTCAGAGTCTCACCATCCTTAATACAGGGCAAAGGAACACAGAGGCATCAGAATAGTTTACGAAAATAGGGAGTGTATAACATTGGGGCAGAAATACTGAAAGCCGGTCTCTCTCACACATAAGAAAGTGGGTTCATCTCAACCAGACCTTACAGAGGTTGCTAGGGGGAAATTTTAAATCCTATACAACAGACAGATAGACAGATCCCCCAAGCCAAAAAAAAGAGAGAGAGAGAGAGAGCAGTAAAATTCTCGAAGTGGGCTCTCTCACTTCTGGGACACAGCTGGACTCCTACCGCGGAGGCTGAGATGATGCAGAATCACAAAGGGTTCTGGCAGCTGCTCACATCCCCTTCCCTGCGTAAGATTCCCGTGAGATCCACAGTGGTGAGCAACGGCGGCACTCCCATTCTTCCTCCTGCCTGGGCTCAGCACACGTCACTGGAGTTTCAGGGCCTTGCCTCCCCGAAACGAAGATTTTCTGTGCGAGTCACAGCATGGGTGTTTCTCGCATCGAGAGCTGTCTTGAGGGTCTCCCAGGAGAGAGAGAAACTGCCCAGCAGTCAGTGTGGCTGGCTCTCTGGCACTACCCTCAGACTGTCACAAAGAAAGGAGTGGCATCTCCATGAAGGACACTAGAACCGTACGGAAGGCCTGAGCAGCCGATGGAGACAGCGTGCAGAACCAGAGGGGCTCAGCCTGTGAAATGCCTTGAGGAAGCTGGAGTTGACAATACCTGCTGAAGTGGGGGGCCCTTGGAGGTGCTAGCTGTTTGTACCCAGAAGAACTAGTCCCAAAAAGAACGAGTCGACATTCAACCGTTTCAGGAGGTAGCCTGTGAGCAAGAAGCAGTGGGACTGAAGGAAGAAATTCAAGCTGCACTGAATGCAGTAGCCAAAACCGAGGCTCCAGGAACTGAGAGGACACCAACGGAAATGCTGCCACAAGCTGGTGAGGCACTGGGAGGACTTACTCATCTATGCCAGGAAATTCGGGAGACAGGAAGAGAGCCATCGCTGCACCCATTCCAAAGTACAGGAGCCCAACAGAACGCTCAACCGTAGGAGAATACCCTGATACCACATTCAAGTAAAGCATTGCTGAAGGTCATCCGAACTGGTTGAAACCGTGCATTGCCAGGGAGCGGGCAGAGGTACATGCCGGATTCAGAAAAGGACGGGGGACAAGGGATACCGCTGCTGAGGTCCGAAGTAGAGAAGGCCAGCAAGGCATTTACTTGTTTTATTGACTGAGCAAAGGCGTTCAACTGGGTGGATTGTTCTAAACTATGGAGAGCCTGGAAGAGAAAGGCAATTCCAGAACTGTGCTCATGAGGAACACGGACATAGCTCAAGAGGTGGTTGCGTGAATAGAACAATACTGCATGGTTTAAAATCAAGAAAGGTATGTTTCATGGTTGTAGCCTTTCACCATAGTTACTCAATCTGGATGCTGAGCAAATCATCAGAGAAACTGGATTATACAAAGAAGAATGCAGCATCAGGATGGGAGGAAGGCTCACTAAGAGTCGGTGATCTGCCGATGGCACGGGCTTGCTAGCTGAACGTGCAGAGGACTTGAAAGTCTTATTGGTGAAGGTCAAGGACTGCAGCCTTCAGTGTGGATGACAACTCATTGTAAAGGAGACCAAATTCCTGACAGCTGGGGCAGTAGGTAACATCAAGACAGGCGGAGGAAATAGTCAAGTTGACAATCATTTCATCTTGCTTGGCTCCACAATCACTGCTCATGGGAGCAGCAGTCAAGAGATCAAAAGATGCACTGAACTGGGTAAATCTGCTGCACAGACCTCTTTAGAGTACTAAAAAGCAAGGACGTTCCTGTGAGGACTACGATGCCCCTGACCCTGGCCATGGCATTTTCAGTTGCTTCATGTGCATGTGAAAGTAGGGCACTGAATCCGGAAGACTGAAGAACAATCGATGCCCTTGAATTGGGGTGCTGGAGAAGGATGCTGAAAGTGCTGAGGACTGCTAAAAGGACAAAGTGGGCTGTCCTGGAAGAAGTACGGCCAGAGTGCTCCTTAATGATACTCTGAACACACTGTCAGGAGGGAGCAGGCCCTGGAGAAGGGACATCAGGCTTGACACAGTGGAGGGGCAGTGAAAGAGGGAGGCCCTCAGTAAGATGGACGGACACTGAGGCTGCCCACATGGGGATGGCGCAGGGCCAGGCAGTGTTTCGTTCTGTGTGCGCAGGGTCACTGTGGGTCAGCAGCAGCCTGACGACACCTGCCCAAAGGTGGGCGCCTCGCAGCTCCCTCGTAGCAGAGGACGGAGGTCGGTGACCTTTTCCCATGCACGACCATCAGTATCGAGGCCCCTGGAACAACAGAAGGCGAAGAGCAGCCAGGAAGAGGAGGAGGCGGAGGCGGCATTGTGGCTCACTGCCCATGCACCACGGCCTGCGTTGACAGAAAGAACTGGATGGTGCCTGACTATCGTGGCTGAGTGCTGTCACCAAAACTCCCAGAGAAGGTGGAGGGAGGGCGGGGTGGAAAGGGGGAACCGATTACAAGAATCTACATAGAACCCCCTCCTTGGGGGATGGACAGCAGAAAAGTGGGTGAAGGGAGATGCCAGACAGTGTAAGATATGACAAAATAATAATAATTTATAAATTATCAAGGATTCATGAGGAAGGGAGATGTGGGGAGGAAGGGGAAAAATGAGGAGCTGATACCAAGGGCTCAAGTAGAAAGCAAATGTTTTGAGAATGATGATGGCAACAAATGTACAAAGGTGCGTGACACCATGGATGGATGTATGGATTGGGATGAGTTGTACAAGTCCCCAATAAAACGATTAAATAATAATAATTTTAAAACTATGCAATAAAGGGGGGAAAAAGCCATAGAAGAATCCTGTTCAAAAGGGAGGAAATGCAAAACAGATTCTCAAATTCTCATGGGATCCAGACTTTCTGGAGCCATGGAGAACAGAGTGATCCCTGAAACTATTACCCTAAGATCATCTTTGAACCTTAAACCAAAAACATGCCCTGAAGTTTTCTTAAAACTGAGTATTAGTCTAGCTTAGCTCATAAACATTGCCTGCCTTGAGTATCAGCTCTACCAGAAGCCGGGTGATCTGAAGGGGAATGGGGCATCAGAACGGGAGGAAGGCGTATGAACAACTGACACAACCTTATCAACAGATGACACACCTTGCTTGCTGAAGCGAGGAGGACTTGCAGCACTTGCTGACGAAGATCAAGGACTGCAGCCTTCAACCTGGATTATAACTCAATGTAAAGAAGACCAAAATCCTCACAACGGGACCAAGGGGTTTGTTATGATAAACAGAAAAGATTGAAGGTATCAAGGATTTTGCCTTGCTTGGATTCACAGACAAAGTTTGTTCCTGGAAGCAGCAGTCAAGAGGTAAAGTGACCCACTGCACTGGGTAGACCTGCTGCACAAGGCCTCTTAAGAATATTGAAAAGCAAGGATGTTATTTTGAGAACCAAATTGTGCCTGACTGCCATGGTATTTTTCAGTCGCCCCATACACATATAAAATTGGACATTGAATAAGACAGACCAACGAAAAACCTATGCCTTTGAATTGTGGTGCTGATAAAGAATACTGAAAGTACCACGGACTACCAAAAGAACACACAAATCTGTCTTGGAAGAAGTACATCCAGAAGCAAGGATGGCAAGATGCCACTCACCTACGCTGGGAATGGTACCAGGAGAGAGCCCTCCCTGGGAAGGACGTCGTGCT